CCAAATCTTTCGTAGGGCCGCCATAGTCTAGCTCGGAACCCCCGTCGCAAAAGTCAAATCGGTCGGCGCATGAGGACAATCTCAATATTTCATATACGCACCGGGGCCAGCTCCGGAGCACTGCCTGCTCATGAACGGGCAAAGGCCTCCGACGCACATGTCAAATGCCGACAACACCACGGAACTCGTCCGCAAACCTTCAACGGATTATACAGTCAAAACCCCAAGAGGTAGCGGAAGCGTGGGGGTGTCAAATGAGGTCGCAGTGTCGCAGTCCGCGAAGATAACGCTAGCGAAAGGCGGACGAGTCATTTCGGTCCCATGCAGGGTCCAACGACGTCCGGCTGGGCACAGACGCCGCCGTCACGCACACACGCACAATTGCACATTTGTCGAAGGCAGGAACCGGGACGTTGTCAAGTGACTTTTGACAGTAAAAGAAATGGTATTGAAGGATCCCAACGTCCAAGATGCAAACTTTTGAACCAGGCCTCACCAGATCCGCCTAGAATCCGGTGTTATAAGTACAAAAGTCCCCCCGTCTCCCCAAGACAGTGGTTAGGAAATGGCCGTTCCGAGTAAATGTTTTTTTCCCCGCTCATAAATTTTTGTTTGAAGACATCAACGTTGAACCATTTACTTCTGGTTCTCGGGACGCAGAGAGCTGTGAGGGACAAAATGTTAGTTAGGTGAACTCTAGTGCATTGATAAGTGGGGGAGGAGGGGTGGGCACGTACCGGACGGCTCTGCCGGCTCTCCAGATCTCCAGGTTGCGGATCTCCTCCATCTCAGCCTCGAACTTCTGGCGGTAGTCCTTCTGGCCGTTGTACTCCAAGGAGCGCTTGGTCTCGGAGCCATCCTTGACGGCGTCGTACAGGGAGTTGAAGACGGGCTTGAGGGCGTCCTTGAACTTGGGGGTCCAGTCGATGGCACCGCGGCGGGCGGTGGTGGAGCAGGCCTCGTACATCCAGTCCATGCCGTTGGCACCGATCAGGGGGTACAGAGACTGGGTAGCCTCCTCGACGGTCTCGTTGAAGGCCTCGCTGGGGGAGTGGCCGCGCTCACGGAGGACCTCGTACTGGGCAAGGAACATGCCGTGGATACCACCCATGAGGCAGCCACGCTCGCCGTACAGGTCGGAGTAGACCTCCTTCTCGAAGGTGGTCTCGTAGAGGTAGCCGGAGCCGATGGCGACACCGAGAGCCTGGGCCTTCTCCTTGGCCTTGCCGGTGACGTCCTGGAAGACGGCGAAGGAGGAGTTGATGCCACGGCCCTCACGGAAGAGGGAGCGGACGGTGCGGCCAGAGCCCTTGGGGGCGACGAGGATGACGTCAATGTCCTTGGGGACGTCGACGTTGGTGACATCCTTGAAGACGGGGGAGAAGCCGTGGGAGAAGTAGAGGGTCTGTGGAAGTCAGTTATGCCCAATTGAGCTGCCAATTGCACCCCAAAGTTCACGTACCTTGCCCTTGACGAGCTGGGGCTTGATAGCGGGCCAGGTCTCGGACTGAGCGGCGTCGGAGAGGAGGTTCATGACGATGGTACCGCGGGAGATGGCCTCATCGACATCGAAGAGGTTCTTGCCGGGGACCCAGCCGTCCTGCTGGGCGTCCTTCCAGGACTGGCCGTTCTTGCGGACACCAACGATGACGTTGAGGCCGTTGTCACGGAGGTTAAGACCCTGGCCGTGGCCCTGGGAGCCGTAGCCGATGAGGGCGAGGGTGTCGTTCTTGAAGTACTCCTACAGGTCTCTGTCAGCTCCAATTGCTTCAGATTCCTCCCAAGATGCTCAAATGTGACTCACCAAGAGCTTCTCCTGGGGCCAGTCGGCACGCTCTGTGGCATGAAAGTTAGCAATCTCTCGCGAGTCATTGCGGGGTCAATTCTTGGGCTCGTCTCTCTCTTACCGTAGACGTCCTCCTTGTGGCCGGCGAAGTCCATGGTCTTGACACCACGGGTCTGCTGCTGGCCGGCGAAGGCCTTGGAGACCTGAGCAGAGGCGCGAACCAGGCTGCGGGCAGCAACGAAGGTGCGCTGCTGGGTAGCAGGCTTGGCCGCCAACTGGCGAGCCATGGGGCGAAGAGCCTTGGAGAAACCGCGGGAGGCCATTGTGAACTGTGGTTTTGGGGGAGGGAAGGGGAGTGGAGAGGGTATCCGTACAATTCAATTGTAAGGAAGGAGAAAAGAAGAGGAGGACGGAATGATGAGAAAAGACAGAGTTCACCGATGGAAAAAGGCGTTTGGAATTGGGAAATTTTTTACTGGATTAGAGACGGGCGAGCTGACCCCCGACTTCGGCCCAGCTTGCCTCGTTGGTGGGTTAGCCTGCGTCGTCTGGCCTGTGCTCTTGTGTGTCCATGGTGGGGAAGCCTTCTGAAGCGTCCGGGGTTCGGTACGGTGCCGCAAGGGGCCCGTCAAGTGGGAGGGCGGGTACTGGGGACTTGGGAAATGTTTGGAGAAAGCAGGGACTTTGCTGCGAGGTCGGGGTAGCCTCTACCTGGTCTGGACTTGAAGCAGTTCCTATTTGACAGCGGCCTTACCTAAGACCTCGGGGAGCAATCAACGTTATTGCCGGCGAGGCGGGTTCTGTGGACCAGCGAGCCCACCCCGCCGACCTCGTAGCCCAACCATCAGCGAAGAGTCACACACGATGGACCGTTTCCGGGCCCCTCACCGACAGCCAAATCGCCGGCTACGGCCCCCAGCTACGCCTGCGGTCGCGGCCGGAGGCCTATGTTTAGCTTCGTCGGCCCTTCTGTGACTCCTCTTTCGAAGGCAAGCTCCGACAGAGCTGTGACTCCTTCTGCTTGATTGCTTCTTGACGAAAGGCACACGCATCCGTGATTGGTCTGTTGAGTTTACTCTCGTAACACAGCAACGCTCTTTGCATTCCGGATATTCTTCTAGGCTGTTTCTCAAAACCGCTTCACAAACTCTTGGTGACCGTTGCTCTGCTTGCATCAGTGTCTCCATCTCCCCCGCACGTCGTTCGCCTTGCTCAGGTCTTCTCAGTCCATCTGCGCAAATAACCTGTCTAGCCAGACTGAAAGGATGCCTTTGCCCAATGTTCGCCTTCTTGATATCCGTAATATTGTATCCATGAACGCCGGACGATGATGCTATAGCGATGCCCACCGACCTCCCAAATGCGCGCATGCCGTCCGTCCTAGAACCCCGCCATACCCCGCTGGAGTGATCAACGCGATATCTCGGTTCCCGGGTGACCAGGAACTCAGTCCGGCTGGCCTATTTCCAGGAAGGCCGAAAATCTATTTGCAGATGGCCATCCTATTTCAACACACGGTCGTAGCTCACTCCCTTGACGGTGCCACCGCCCATCGCCGTTCGAACGTTGCGCTTGAATCCTTCGCGGTTCAGTCTGAGGTCCTCTGCAGCTTCCTTGTTCAGCGGGTCGGAGGCATTGGGTTCAAGGAAAAGAAACTGCAAAGGAGCACCGGTTAGTCGACGAGTTCAACCCGGGGCAGCCGTGGCTGATCCGACATACCTGTAGGCCGACAATAACGGCATTCAAGTTCAGCACCGGCTTCCAGTCCTCGCGCAGAATGTTCAGGCAGACCTTGCCCTCGAGATCGATGTTGGGGTGGTAGATCTTCTCCTTGCAGCGGACCTTTGGCGGCTCGTGGGGGAAATTTTGGTTGATATCGAAACTGAAAGTAAAACGTCCGGTGCGGTACATGCCCTCGTCGGGCTCGATGGTCAACGTGAAGTGGAGGATGTCGTCGGGATCAGGAAAGTCTGTCTTCATCGTAGAGCCGAGGGAAAGTTCCGACAGGTCTATATGCCATCCGTGTTAGCGAGAATGTCGTCGGCTTGTTCGTGATACAGTCTGACCCTTTTGCACTCGTAGTTGGGCGGCCGTCACCTTCTTCTTCTTTCCGCCAGCAGCGTCGGCATTTTCAGCCTTCTGCTGCTCTTTTTTCTAGGAAACAGTCAGTATGGAGCTTGTCCGGCAAGGTTCCGAAGGCTAGCTGACCATCGACCAAATCTTCAACATCTTGACCGATCTTTGGGGGGGTAATGCTGATGCAGCCGAAGGCGGGGCAGTCGGATGATAGCGCGGGCAGGTGGGAAAATCGCGAGTATCGCAGACCTTAAGTAGGCTCTCAGTCGTCTAGAGAGATTCGCGTGGTCTGGATTTCTCCGTAGCAAAAGAGTGGTTGTTTCCGTAAGGGTGTCGCGATAATGGCTTGCCACAGTAGAAGAACTTGGGCGGGCCAACTGGGCACCAGTCAATGCGGTCACCTAACTTCGCGATAAGATAGGCAGCTACTTTTAACCGGGGTTCTACCGGGCCCGCTTTCTTTGTCTTGCCGCCTGTTGGTTGCTGACGGAAGGAACCAACAAGGTTCTTTCTTCATCTGAGCGCTTGCAACCAACAATACCTAGTCAGGTGACTGGCAATCCGGTGTAATTCAGTCATTTCACAGTCATGCTGTCAATGTTCCATTAGAAAGTCGAGAGATGTGGTCTTGTATAAGAGACCGCCTGATATTTTTATGTCTGCGTAGGTACATTTCCTGTGTACTCAAAATCCAGCATTTTGAAACTTTCCTCCGATCAAGGACGGATTCAAGTCACAGAGAGACGACGATGGCGGACGATGAGGGCGAGCAACAACGGCAATGATGACGACAATAGCAACAACAACGAGCCCATAGGAAATGTAGTCACTCTGGCACAGGAGAAACAGGTGTTCTCTTATAAAATCATATTCATTTCGTGGAATAGGGTGGTCGAGTCATGTAAAAACGCCCGGAATGCTACTACTCAAATACTACTTTTACTGACCCTTTCGGCCATTTCATGAAGAATCTGTCGAGTCCCGTGCCCTTTATTACTAAAAACACATACCCTGAATGCAAACACCGACGGATGTCTGAAAATGGGCCAAAGATGGCAAGAGTACAGTCTTCCCTCTGGTATCCATACAACGACGCCGTAGCGTCGGCAAACCGCCTGAACACCACACCGTGAACCGATCACCGTCTGGAGAAGCAGCACATGATACCGGTCTTGCCCAAGAACCACAGGAAACCGAAGAAACGGACCAGGGAGAGGACAGCGGTAGAGTACAGCAAGAAGCTGAAGTAAGAGGCAGTACGAGCGGACGCGGATTTCTGCGTAAAGTTAGTTCAAGTCCCATGTGATATTGGATGAATCGGGAACTTACGCCAATGCCGAACGAGTTGAAGTTATCACTCGTGATGATGATGATCAGGAAGGTGTTGGAGAAGAGCCAAGAAACGACCAGACCAGTACGGAAAGACTTGTACGAGTCCTCGACATCGGGCTTCTCGACTTCCTCTTCCTCCTTGAATGGCTCCAGAGCACGCTTGACAGTCGATTCGAACTGACTGTCAATATCCTCCTGTGGCTTGTCGATTTCCTCCACAACGGCTTCGTCCTTCTCGCCCTTGCTGACCTGGGCTGAAGGAAGCGCCTCGGCCTTGTCTGAACCCTTGGTACCCCAGGACACATCGTGCCAGTTGTTGAAGGCGTAGACCATGAGAATGTTGATGTAGGTCGACATGAGCACCAGGTAGTGAGGGAACGAGGTAAACATGTGCCAGGGGTCGAGGTACATGAAGGATGCGATGAAGTTAAGACCGTAGATAGTAACCAAGGCGACAAGAATAACACCGGCAGCGTTCTGACCTCCGAAGAAACTAGCAACAAAGTCTGCGCCAGAGTCCAAGCTGATCTGCTCGCTGATGGGCTTCTGGAACGCTTGCACGACCAGGTATGCCGAGAGAATCAGGATGTAAGACTGGATAAGACCGAAGACAATGAACGAGGCAATGTACGTGTACTTAGAACCCTTTGGTCTGTTACCCAGAGCGAGGATGAACTGCAGGATAACGAAGGCGAGGTAGAGGTACTTGAGCAGGGCGTTGAAGATGGGTGTCGCGGTGTCGCCAAAGGGCCAGCCGTGGCGCACCTGACTCTCGTCGTCGGAAGTGACCGGGTTGCCGACGAGATCCATGATAACCGTCGTAGTCAGGTAGTAGGAACCCAAACTGAACCATGTGAACATGACCTGGAGGATGTTGTAGATGAGTTGGACGTGGAAGAAGAACATGCGGATGATGTTGTGGCCGGACTTGTACATGCGACCGAAGTGCATGAGCGAGTAGAGGGAGGCAGCGAAGGAACCGTTGAGCCAACGACGACGCTGGGAGATGAACTCGGGAGCACCCTCGGGAACATCAGTCTCACCCTTGGCAGCCTTGATGTAGGACAGATGCCACTTCTGGCCAGCCTTGGCGACCAGTTCGAAGCAGAGAATACGATCCTCGGCCAAGAACATGTTCTTCTTGAAAATGTTCATTCCATCGATACCCTTCTTTCCGAGAATCTTGGAAAGAGTGTGGTCACCATGGAAGTACTGCTCCAAGGGGCGACCCATAATCGCACGGAAGCGGTAGGCGGAGAAAGCACCGGGCAACACAGAGACGTATCCGAAAGAGGACTCGAGGGGCTTGTCCAGAATGTTGGAGATCTTGTACTCGAAGTTCTGGACCGCCACGAGGGGGTTAAGCAGCTTCTTGCCGCCCTGTACCAGTTGTTAGTTCCTCAAATACACCCCAAACACACTCCAAATACACGGGAAACAAGGGAAACAATAAAACCAAGAGAAACGAGGGGGGGAATAACTCGCCTTTCCTAACATTGCGTGGATCTCACCGCAAGCACCGCCGAGATCCTTGTCGTTGTAGAATCCCTCCCACAGAGCGAGCAGCGATCGGGGACTGGGCTTGGTACCGGCGTCGATGAGGATGCAGACTTCGGGGTTGAGGATGCGACCGAAGGCGTTGAAAAGCCATCTGTGGGAGTTGATCTTCTTGGTATTCTTCTGCTTCAGACAGAAAATGAACTGAACAGGCGGGAGAGTTGATGGGCCATCGTCAACCGGGCGGATGAGCTGTTGGTTGGGGGTGACGGACAGCTGGGTGGTGTACTCGAAGATGTGGGCCACCGTCTCCTTGCCGTCGACATCCTTCTTCACGACACCATCCTGGTAGACACCAATGGTGGCCAGGACGTCCAGCACGTTCTTGTCAGTCTTGTCGAGACCGTCGAAAACGAGGGCGACGACGATTTTCTGCCAAGCGGGGCCGCCCTTGTTCCAGAACGTAGACTTCTTGAGGTTCACAATGTCGCGAATGTTCTGCATGACACCGTGGAGGGTACGCGACAAGAGGACCTTGTCTTCGTTGTAGTAGGTGACGGCAATGAGCAGCTCAGTGTGTCGGTTATACATTCTGGGACGCAGATCGTAACCATTCTTGAGGGTGAAGTCGTTAGGGTCGCAAGTAGCGGCGGTGTAGCGCATCTTGTGGAACTCATCGCTGCCGCCCTCGACATCGCGATACTTGGGCTGAACAGCGTTCTTGATGGCACTGGGGACGGGGTAGTCAATGCTCAGGACGGAGCCCTGAGTAAGCTTGATCTTACGGGTCGCGTATCGCTTCAGACCACCACCGGGGCCACCGGGCTGCTGTCTGCGGACCCAGCTGTCCTCGACATCGCCGACAGTCGAGGCGGGACGGCCATATCCGAAGCCGCCATTATCGGAGTCGAGCTCGGAGCGGTAGCCAGTGGAGAAGGCAGCTTCGCCGGGAACTGGTGTCCGGGAGCCAGCGCCAGGAGCGTATGATTCTGTGAGAGAGTATGCGGAAACCGGGCGGCCAGGAGTCTCGGCAGGTCCCAGGTGGCTCTCATAGGGAGCTGGGGCGTGAGGGTCTCTCAGAAGAGACTGACCGGCATCGTCGACACCTTCGTCTTGGGGAGGGATGTGGTACTGGAGAGCAGGAATGTTAGCGAAAGGACTCAAGGTGAGGGCAGGCGCCAGAGAGGAGTGTGAAGCTTACTCTGCCAGAGCCAGCAGGAAGGTCCTGCATGTTGTGGCCGTCATGGGCATCATAATCGTTCCCGCCGTTCCCCCCGCGGTACGCCATGTTTGCTGCGGGTGAACTCAGAAGCTGCGAGAGCTGTTTGTGAGGTTGGCGGTAGGCGGAAAGGGATTTTCGCCTTTGGCGGTGGTCGAATTAGGAAGGGTCGATTATGTTCCTTTTCAGGAAGCAGGAAGTAAACACCCAGGTAGGATGGGGGATGGGACAGGAGTTTTGAGGAGTGACGGGTATGCGGTCACAAAGGCCCTGTAGGTTATGTAGGAGATGTGCGGCCGTGAAAGCCACAACCCCGGTAGCGAATGGTGAACCGAAGGGTAAAAGAAGGATGAGATTGATGGAAGGGCTGGGGGGGGCAAGAGGAGTAGAAGGGGAGAGGATGGTGATGTAGGACGGGGCAGCAAATGGTTAAAAAAGGGTCCCACGGGATGGCGGCGTTGCTGATGGGATGGGAGGGACACCTCAGGACTGGAAGTTTTGTGGTGGGCAGCAAAGAAGGTGGACAGCCCAGTGGGAGCGCGCGAGTGGAAGCGGCGTCCAGTGGAGGATGGCTTGGATGATGGATCAGAATAGCATTGGGATTGGCCCGACTGGGCTGAGTGTGGACTTCTTTTTTTTTGCTCTCTCTTGTAGCCCTCTGTCTCTGTGTGCGAGGAGCAGCAGCAAGCAACAGGCCAAACCGCGGTGACGGTGAAGGGTGAGCAGCAGGAGCTCCTGGAAACTGGAGTCCTGTCCCGGCAACTGCCTCCCATCTTCGCGACTGCCCAGTACCTATTCGCAGGTACATGAGATGGAATAGGAGAAGTCACTCGTGCATCCCCTCCCCGCAGAAAAGATACTTGGCATCCTCGTCGAGGTACCTCGCTTCAGCCGGTGTCCACCGCCCCATCCGTCGTACCGCAGTACCTCACCTACCTGCGGATGGAGACCGACTAGTCGTGCGGTAGACGCTCACCTCACGTCAACACAAACCGGGGAAGCTGTGGCTTAGCGCTGCTCAGCACCAGGCATCGCGCTGGCCCTGCTGATGCACGATGAACAAGACAATACCACCAATACCACCCGAAGATGCACACCAGAGAGCACCTGAACATCATCGACAGGGTCCATTGGCCTTGGAAAACAGCACGAGCCGACCAAGATTTCCGACCAGCCTTCCCGGTGCTGCGCTGCCCGCAGACAACAGACACACCCGACATCAGACATCAGCAGAAAAGTCAGTGCCTACCTTACCTACCTAATTAGTGACAGACACCAGACGGACTGCCTGGGACAGGCTGGCACACGTCGCTCGCTCGTTCCCAGGCCAGCGGGTGGTCCTGGCCGGCCGTCATCCTTCACCTCAGATCCTCACAACCCACGCTGCCAGCATGTTGCTGTCAGGGGAGCCAATGCCGTGGACCGTTGCCAACCCCGTCGTCCCCTTTTTCTGCATTTCCTGCCGTTTCTCCAGCTGCCGTCGACTGTCTACAATTAAGAGAAACAAGCAAGCTGCTGGTTGCCCCTTGGCTGCCGTCCTGGACACCATACTTGCATATGCTCTTTGCGCGAGCCGTCGGCCAGTCCAGCCAGTCAAAATACCAGGACACGGCAGTCAAGCAGAGCGAAAAAAAATAAAAACGGGTCTGAGACCAGGACCAACTACGTCACGCCTCTCGCAGACGAAACCCCCGGTCGCTGCTCTCTTGGCCCTTGCATCTCGCGTACCCCTTGGTCTTGCACCTTCAATCGGTCCATTTGGGGATGGGATCTGCTCCAGAAACACCTGGCAAATACCTGGCAATTAATGCCCAGTCGCCCACACAATGCCCTGCGATAGGGGGTTAGGGGGGATGTAACGCGCGAACACAGAAGGCGAGGCAGCCAGCTGCAGCATCGACACCAACTACAGACAGCGCTCGTCCTCGATCGCCACGGATGGTGGTGGAGAGTTACAAGTGTCACGCTCCTTGCCGCGAGGAAAAGGAGAGAGCAAAGCTAAAAAGAACGCCGTCCTTTTCGTCGGCATACGTCGTGCCACCACGAGCATCAGCCATCATCCTTGGCTGCCATTGGCCATCATTGGCCACCATGGCTTGCAGGTGCTGCGGGAGTCCGCGGTTTAACTCTGGATACGCAGCTGCTGGTGGCTTGGTTCGGTTCGGCTTCGGCAAACGTCTGTTTCTTCTCAAAGCCTCGAAATTCCCCTCCATCTCATCTTTTGGTCGTTCGCACTCAGCACGCTATGGACAGGCATCAACACAGCGTGGGGTACCCATCTTCCGCAGAACCGCAGCTCCCCGGTCAATCAGCCTTCAGGAAGCTGACGGATGACCAGAACCCGGCTGTCTGCACGCTGGCTGACAAGCATTCCTGAGGAACCGCTGTGCCTCTTTGTTCCTGAGCGAAACCCCCCAACTTCAGACAGGAAGGATGGCGCCAGACGAGCGACAAGATTGGTGAGCGCAGCGAGGCAGAGGCACGAGAGGCAGACCCTGAATAAGACGGGATGCATTTAAGAAACGACATTGAGCTGTTAGTACGACCGCGGGTGTGACCCTCCGCATCTAAGTGAGACGCGTGTACTTGCTAACGCCCCGCTCTTTTTCTGGGATCGTGCGGCTTCGACGAAGACTCTGAAACGCCATCCCTCGCCCTTACCAGAGACTTGGCTTTCTGGAGCCGCAAAGTACCTGCCTCAACTTCCAGCTTACCACTCATGCGAGTCCCTCTCGGCATCAACATTGGCAAGACTCGCGGCTTGGAGGCACGAGGTTCCCCCCTCCCATCAAGCATCAAAATTACCTTATTACAGTCCGGCCTGGCTGTTGCTTGTCGAAATGTCCTGCCTGGAGAAGCAAATCTCACTTCTCACTCGTCAGTGGTCCGACGTCGTCCAGGACTCCAGCCTGGAACCTGTTGCCGACTGTCTTGCAACTTGTTTCCACCACCCGGCCCAGATTCCCCATTTGTTCAGCCCGATGTCTCGAAACCTGTCCATCATCGTAATGCCATTTCTCCTCTGTTTCCAGCTCTTCCTTTTGGCGACCCTCGCCGCGGCAACGACAACCCCGTTCGCTGCCATTCGCCGCACAATGCGTCGCAGCAGCAACAACAAAACGCTGGATTCCATCCGAGCTTTTCTTTCGCAAACGTCGCGAGCATACGTACTTGCCGTATGATCTGCTCGGTCTTCTGTCCTTCGTCTTCGCCTTCGCAGTGGCACTGTCGTCACCAATGACCTGCATGTCGCGTTCGTTCAAGTGTACGAAGACCAACTTTTCCCTTCCCTCCTCACGGATACGGGGTCCTGCTCGCTGCGATTCGTCAGGAGAAAAGGCCCAAAAATAGTAAAATTGGGCTGGGGCTGATCGACTGGGGCTGAGGCGGTGCATCCACCCACGCCTCGCCTTGCTCCCATCGAATCGTGCGGCGCCATGGCAAAGCACAAGCACAAACAGCGTCCAATACTCCAGATTCTGGCGGCAGACGGCAGCAAAAACCGAGACCCTGACTGGCGCTAGCAACAATCTCACTACGAGACAAAGACGTTCGCCCCAGGCCAGCAAACGCTTGTCATTTCCTCTTCGCTTGCCTTTCGTGCGGTTGCGGCCAGTTCCGGCGCTCATCTTCAGCCATAAGCCACCAGCCCCAACGCCGTCCTTGCATGTACTGTCATGTACCCGCCTAAGCGCTGACTGTACGCATGTACATGAGTCCGAAGACTGGGTCTCGTCAGCTCTGCAGTCAGTCGTGCCCTATCAGCCAACCCGCCCGCGTCTGTTGTCTCCAGTATGCCACCTCCGGAGGGGCGGATACCGGGTCCTTGAGAACCGATGTTGAGGGCGCTGACTCGGACTGCCAGCGTTCAACTGCGGCCCGGGTCCAGCATCGGTCACCTTCCCGACCGCAGACTTAAGACGAAGGCCTCCAGCCTCGATAGCCGAAGGAAGCCCTACGCCGCGTTCATCGCTTGCGGCTCCTGTCAGATTCTATCTATCGGTGTTCGGACGCCCAGAATAATTCTAAGCCTCTGCCGCTGGTTGCTGCGGCGCAGTTCGCGACGTGTTCCCAAGTGGGTTTCCGGCGCTCGGCTCCGTCTTCAACCTCCTCCCGCGCGCGTACGGGTACCTGCCTCGGAGCTCCCAACGGCGGGGTCGTCCGAGCAAGATTTTCAAAAATTCGTCGGCGAGGCCGCAGCAGCAAAGTGGCTGGAGCCCTCGGGATCGGTTGCGTTGGTTGGTGGAAGTCTACCAACTCCGCGATCCTCAGCCCTGGCACGATCCCAACGCTCCCCCTCACCGTCTTTCTCACCTGTTTGAAACCTCCACTCTACGGAATTTTTGCTGCAGAGAGGATGGTGCTCGCGAGTGTGATCGGCGGCCTGGGGTAAAAGGGGCCTCCCGCAACTCAATGCTATGACCTCAAGTCAGAACTTTGCCGATGTTATCGGTTCAGGGGCCGAGGAGCGCTCGCAGGACGTCAAAATTCTTTCCAGGCGACACCTGGTGCGGCATGTGGAGGAGGCCGGCACGGCATTGGGGGGACCATGAAAAGCCCGATTGAAGTCAATGGGCGAAGCTGAAGAGGCAAAGCCGAGCCTTGGAATGACGTGTCTGGGAGGCGGCTGGTTATTGTGTGTCAGAACTGGGAGGGTTCACGGTTGCAAGATCAGACGAAGGCCTTCGGGAAGTATGCTCGGGGCACGTGCTACGTCCAGGCTGGATGCGAGAACCTCACCTGAGGCTGAATAAAGCTCTCTGACTCGTGTCTAGCCACAGCTTGTATCGATCCGAGTAGGCGCAAGGCCGGCCGTGCTCGCGATGGCGTCAACTTTGCCTCTTAGACAAGGGCAACATCAAGGGAGGCTTCCCGCTTTGCGCACGCATTCGGTGCGAACACGCGTGCGAATATGTCTGAATGTGGCAAGTGGCTCGTCGCCGCGGATGTCAAGGAGCTGGAGGATATTTGCAGAATGAGACTGACTTACGCCCCAAGCTGCGGACATTGTACTCGTCGAACTGCGCTATCGACGCAAATTGCTTCGAAACAATCTGCGGTGATATTCA